AAACCATCGTCCTTGCAGGCAGCGATAAACAAGAGACGTCGCATCGCGAACGCTGAGCAGCGCGTGCGAACTAACGTCCCATCTTGCACATACCCGTGGCTGTAATTGCTCCATTGCAACAGACGAGAACGCAGCCATACAGGGTATCTGCCGTGCTCGGCGGCTAGTGTTTCTGACGTTATGGAAGAATGCGAAGGTAGACAAGGCTGAAAGAAATACTGACACTCAGTTTGGATGGCTGGGGACCCACTTCACACGCATAAGGAGGATCGCCCGCTGGAGGCAGGTGATTCCACTGGTGCCTAATTTGAGGGAACATCATTTTGTTGTTCAAGAGAACTCTTTCGAAAGGAAATCTGCATTAGAAAAACACCATCTGGCGCCAGTTTCCACGTTGAAACAGTACTCGGTCACGGAATCATGCGGCGCAGCCATGTCAGCGTGCGAGTTTTGACGGGATTTCAATCCTGTCCTCTAAACACTAGCAGAAAGCGGGACATACTCGGTCGCGGAATCATGCGGAGCAGCCATGTCAGCGTGTGAGTTTTGACGGGATTTCAATCCTGTCCTCTAAACACTAGCAGAAAGCGGGCAAAGTACCCATTTCTCATGAAGTTTTTCTCGCCGATGTTGTCCGATTCCGCATTTATCCCAGTTCCGTATTTAGTCCGATACGACTTGTCGTGTCCTCGCGGAATGGTCAAAGCAGCGCTGGTGCCACCAGCCGTGCCACCCCGACTTACGATGGATGTTACAACGCCTACGGACGAAGGATGGATACTGGAGGCGAGTCAGCTGTGCTGCCACACTCTCGTCCCTCGGCTGCCCCTCAATACCCTCTCTCTATTCTACGTGTATAATAATAAATATGTATAAGCCCACATGTTTCCATAAATACATAACACCGCTACACCATCATGTATAGGCGTCACGAACCTATAACATGATATGGAGGTCCCGGTATTTAACAGTCGTGTCCCTCGGACGGCCATTCCCGTATTGCGTACTTCACTGGGACGCGACGGCGGCTGCAGTAGGAGTGGCGATCGATGCTGCATGATCAGCTGATTTCAGCGATTAATTTTTCTATTTTGCCTGTTATTCTGCTAACTAGAAGGAAAAGTGAGTTCATATTATTTACTCTAATTTAAGGTTTTATTGTATATTTTGCTTTCAGTCGCTATTTGACTGCAGTGACGGTGTTTTTACCCACTTTTTGATTTTGTTTAGGTTTTTTTGTACTAATGAGGACACATAACGACACTGCCATGGAGAACAGTCCAACATTCAAAGCACAAACAAAAAACATAAACAAAATCAAAAAGTGGGTAAAAACACCGTCACTGCAGTCAAATAGCGACTGATAAATGCAAAATTATACAAATAAAACCTCAAATTAAAAGTAATACCCTAAAATCCCATAGATAAGAGCGGTCCATAGATAAGAGCGGTTTGTGCTAGAAAATGAAAATTGACGTTTGTATACGTTTTTTTTGGCGTTGTGTGCTCATGATTATCGCAATAATAATTTCAATAATAATTATCGCATATTTTCAATAATAATTATCGCAACAATAATTTCTAGAGAGATTCCGGCAGAAATTCCGTTAAAATCGCTATTTTTCTATATGAATTGTTTATTAAGTGGGCGGGGCTTCAGAGCTTGAGGGGCGGAGCTTCTCCTAAACTTCTTCTCCGATTTTTATTTATCCATCCATCAAGTTAGAGGGGTGACTGCATTCAATTTCAATTTCATTCCAATTCATTTTTCACCGGTAAATTAAACCGCTCTTATCTATGGGATTTTAGGGTAAACTAACTCACTTTCCCTTCTAGTTAGCAGAATAACAGGCAAAATAGAAAACTTAATCGCTGAAATCAGGTGATCATGCAGCATCGATCGCGTGCACAGTGGATGTGTCTGGTGCCCATCGATCCATCACTCCTACTGCAGCCGCGTGCCCAGTGAAAGTAGCAATTACGGATGGCCATGCTGAAGGATCAACGAACTGTACCTAATTCGCATGGAATTTTTGTTTTTAGAAAATAAATTTCTCAAACCTTTCCCATATCCTGTCAGGGGCTTTTTAAAGATCATCATTCTTCGTCCTTGATGAAGGCACCAAGTCAAATGAAGAACCTTTGGAGACCGATCGACTCTATACAGTTATGTAATTAACTACTTATTCATTTATTAAAAGAAAACAAAAAAGAGTGTAGAAGGAGAGAGCTACTCCTTCCCTCACAACGGGTTATCGTGCATGTAGTTGCACTCCTTCATTAAGCCATAGGTGGCAATGCATGATAATGCATTGATAATATGTTTATTCAACGGTCCTGGCGACGAGTTCCCTTTCTCACGGCTCACCTATTATCTAACCAGTAGAATTTATTGCATCATTACTGTAACTGGCGGTTACAGTATTGATATATTACGTCGAATAGATACAATACTGGGTACACCCTTTTATTTGGCTTCCTGTATCCGTGTTGGATCTGGTATCTCACTGATCGAAGGGATAACATTCCTCAGTCACTGAGGCTCACGTTAGTTATTTTTCAATTCAAGAATGAAATCGAGATGCGTCTGCGATGTACTCTGCTGGGATCACGGTCAATACGCGATAACTGCCGTGTCATTAAGGCGTCATTATAGCGTCGTCCTTATTTTAATCGATTGGTTAACCATGTAGACTAGTTAGATGGAAAACCCCAATCTTACTTTTAAGAACTTATATTATATATAAAAGACACAAGATTATAACTATTATAAACTTTTTCAAGGACAATTAGAAAATCAATATTCTGGAATTATGATTATGATTTGAAGGGAACATTATGTACGGCAAGTATTATGCATATAGTACTGCATACTCTGCAGTAACTACAGTAGTACGATTAATGGAGTGGTCTCTTATTTTTTTCTCCATTCACACTGATACACCTACTTCAATGCACTTTTATGTATATACCTATACACTTATAGTCGAAATAATTAAATGCCGTGATATTATACATTTGAAAGGACTCGATCGCCGAATAGTCGACATTTCTCACCAACAGTTGTCATCTAAAGAGGTTGACAACGACACCCAATGTTGAGACATGATCAATCTCACATTACAATACATCAGGTCACCACGGTAGGTATGCGCTCAGCATCTGTGAACCATAAATCTCGGCATAGCCGCTGCGGCACAATAAGTTCCACAGACAGCGGCTTGGGCTGATGACAAATCGCGACCTCTGAGGAAAGCAATTAATCTGCCAATAGCACCTCGGCCACGATGTTTAATCTTCCAGTGAACGCCGCGCATATCGCGTCGTTACACTACACCGAAGGATTACGGTAGACTAATTAATCCTCCAAACCTCCTGCCAGCACATATCGCGCTGGTACATAGCACCGAAGGATTACGGTAACACAATATAATCCCCCCCCCCCAATAACTACCCCAGCACAAGGAATTTCTGCTGATTGACACAAGGTGAGTGATAGTAACCATTACTCTGTCAACCAGGCATTAATGCTACTATACACGAAAAAAAACAGAGATGGAAAAAACCAAGATTTGCCTTCAATGGGCGGCACCAAAACCCTTGCTTTTCCATTTTTTTTTGTCTCCCGGTGTCAAGCCTCGACACACCGGGGAATGATTTTTTAATTTCTAAAGACGAGAACACCGAACAATTTTTGTTCTCAAATAATTTATTTCCTGCATTGACATAGGATCACGGACGATGTCCAGAACGGGAGGAAGAGACGGGGACGAAGTGGGACATCTTTCTATTCCGAGCGCCTCGTGTTGAGCGGGAACGGCGGATGGCGGCACGGCGAAGGCGCGAGCACGCCAAATTTCCACGCGAAACTCCTCATTCTTCTGAAACAGATGGAAGTAAATGATTATATCACTACCAGAGAGTGTAGGGACACATATATTACAAGGGTCAAGTGAAACTCACATTTGCGAGGGCTTCGTCATTTTGGTTGTTGTGGTTGATCCGATTCTGAAGGTAGTTCCTGTGCCACTCACGTAGCGCGCTGTTGTCCGCGCACCTCGCTTCCAAGGCGACTCTCCATTTTTTGGCTTTGGCGAGCTCTCTCAATGGAAAGGTGTACGCCACGCCAACGTGGTTGGGCTCACACCTGTGACATCCGAATGGCTGAAAAAAAGTGTCACTTGCTCACCGTTAAACTAAAATTTTGAACCCAACAGAGAGAATTGAAACTCACCACAGTTCCTGCATCATCCTGTTTTCGAAGCTCATGTTTTTTTTTCTCTATTTTGTAACTGAAATACATTAAATACTTCTTTCTGAAACTGAGCAAAATAAGGAAACCGAAATATTTAGGTTTTAGAACCTCAGGCATATGCAGATCGACAAGACACACTAGGAAAAATCATTTTATTTCAAAGAAAAAAAAATGTGCGAGTTACTCGCGTGACTCTTCCGGGTGGGGTCCTACCCCTACCCCTGCGTGCAGGCCCAAGTACCACTGGGAGTGTTCCTCCCGCAGGACTATGTGCTCCTGCTCAATCAATTTTTACCCGCAATGTGTTACGAAAGCGCCTTTCTGAGGCTCGCAGTTCCTCTCCCAGCTCCACGACCTCTCTTTCCATTTCCACTTGGTGGCGCCGTAGCTCTTTAGCGAGCTCGATGCACCTACGTTCCTCCTCGCGCGCTCGCGAGTTTAGGTCACAAATACAAGCCGCGGCTTTCCCGCACTCTAGACACGACACTTGTGTATGGCCGCCGTCTACCTGTGTGTGACTAGTCTTCCATCACAGTATCACCACATCCACGTATATCTTATTTTTCCTACCAAGGCGTAATAATCCAGTGTTTATTGAACGTGAAGCCTTGACACCATTCTTCTTATGTTCTATCACATGTCACTTCACTCCTGTACGTTCATTCAGTTGACTGTTGTGGATAATACAGTCGAGACTGTTAACTATAAAAGCTACGCTAAGCTCGAGGACGAGCTTACAGAACGAATGGAGATGTCGTGTCCTCGCGGAATGGTCAAGGCAGCGCGGGTGCCACCAGCCGTGCCACCCCGACTCACGATGGATGTTACAACGCCTACGGACGAAGGATGGATACTGGAGGACAAGTCAGTGGTGTGCCTACAGTCGTCATCCTTGCACTTGATAGGGGCGTGTCGGCGAGAAGGAGCGTGCACACTGTTTGAAGCCTTCTCAGCCTTTTCGTTGAAACGCGTATGCGACAAAAAGTGATAGAAAACGAGTAACACGAAGGATATAATACAGTAATGTCACTTCCTGGTTCAACGATTGGTGCAGTACGGGTGCGGGCGACCGCGCCGCACGCAGCCGCACTGACATTGACTATCAAGTGCAAGGATGACGACTGTACACTCCCCTCGGCTGCCCCTCAATACCCTCTCTCTATTCTATGTATATATAACTAATAAATATGTATAGCCCACATGTTTCTATGAATACATAACACCGCTACACCATCGTCATAAACCTATAACATGATAGACTCAAATCGAGGGCTAATGTTATCGGAGAGGGACAAAGCGCTCACACCCTTGGCGACTCTGGTTGCTCGCACTCTTCTGAACTTGCTTGCGAGCTTGTGGGAGGGGTATACATCTTTAGGCGACGAAGGGGCGCTGCAATCGGGTGATGTTCGCAACATTCGCGCAAGGACCCAATCCGCTCAACGCAGCATGTTAGCTCCTGCGTCTCCCACATCAACTAGTTAGGATAGTACACAATGACGCAACTCAGAAGTAACGTTACACACCCAAAGAAGGAAGCAACACTGCCTCGATGAAAGCAATGCTAAGAGCGCGTTCAGACTTCGCGATCGCGCGATCGATCGCTTGGATCGCGCGATCCGATCGCGCGATCGCGCTACTGAGGGTGAAATTACTGCGGGAGGGGTCATGTTCGTTCATGTTCAACTCAACTCAACAAACAACAACAACAAAGTTCTGGGAAGGGAGCGTACTGATATCACCATTTCTCACATCACGATGCTGTATCCTGCCTCCAATAGGCAGTTCCAAAAACGATATAAAAGTAGTTCGACCTTTTTTGATGTCTTTTATTCCGTGTTCATATTCGCAATACTGACGTTTGCAGAAACCGTCGAAAGGAAAGGTTGTGTATAGACCTGGAGGATGGCAGAACAAACAAAGCAAACACAATGTGACAAAAGTAAAGTGAATATCTGGAGGACTGGCAAAATCGGGGGAAGGGAGAGAAACAACATCACCCGCTGTTAAAAAGTTCTGCGTGTCTTACTTTTGGAACAAGATGTTCAACACTCCGCTTGAACGTACTCAGATGCAAAATTCAGTATAATAATTAGCATATTGTATATTTAGTACTATTTTACATAGGAAATAATAAATAACTCAAAGATATTTCGAAACGTTCTTTAAAATTAGGAGGGCGTTATGTACACAAAGGAAGAAAGAAGGAAAAGAGAGAGAGAGCAGGATCAATAAACATATACGCACATAACCCCCTCCCGCAGTAATTTCACCCTCAGTAGCGCGATCGCGCGATCGCGCGCGATCGCAAAGTCTGAACGCGCTCTAAGGCTGCGTTTATACTTTGCGGCAGCGCGTAGCGTAGCGCTTCCAGCGTACGCCAGCGGCTGCCGAGAGGATGCATATCGATCTAGCGTTCCCAGCGTCACCAGCGTCACGCTAGCGTACGCTAGCGTACGCCAGCGTTTCTCCAGCGTTTCACCAGCGTTTTGCTAGCGTTTGCAGCGGCAGGGGAGTAGAGACTATGTGGCCGTGAGAGACGCGGAATCGACGTGTATTGTAGAGACTATGTGGCCGTCAGAGACGCAGAATCGATGTGTATTGTAGAGACTATGTGGCCGTCAGAGACGCGGAATCGACGTGTATTGTAGAGACTGAGGGCGAGTGAGACGCGCAATCGATGTGTTTTGTACCCTCCAGCTCTCCCATAGTCTCTACTCCCCTGCCGCTGCAAACGCTAGCAAAACGCTGGTGAAACGCTGGAGAAACGCTGCGTGACGCTGGTGACGCTGGGAACGCTAGATCGATATGCATCCTCTCCCCGGCACTGCCGCTGGCGTACGCTGGAAGCGCTACGCTACGCTGCCGCAAAGTATAAACGCAGCCTAAGACGACTAAAATTTCGTAGTTGCCCCTTCCTTGAATAAACGTGTGCTTTACCAATTCCATCAGCGTCCGCAGACAAAGTCCCTGCATGTGAACGCGGCCTATGAACAAGGTACAGCATCGTTGTGTTAAACACATAGAGGGGGTCGTACTTCTTCTCTGGGAGGGGGGCGTATTTGGTCGTTGGAAGAGGGGGAGGGGGTCGTATGTGCCTTCGAGAGAAATTTGCTGCGGTGGGAAACAATTCTTCTCGGTTGTTGTCTTTTCGCGTGATTTTTCCTATTACACTGTTTCATGTGCACCATATACTCCCCCTCTGCTCGACGGAAAATTTTTGGATGAAAAACTGGAAAATGTGTTGGGAAACTTGGTGGATAGGTGCTGGGGAATTGGGGGGGGGGGGGGTCGTACCGAGACCCTCATTTAGGCTGGGGGTGAAATCCATACATAGGCGTAGTCTACTGCCTTGTCTGTGCATTGCAGAAGGCATTACTCTTTTGACGTCGTATTTCTGTTTTTGAAAAGCAATAGCAATAAACTTTATGAAGACGGAGTTGGCATTATTGTTTCCTTCTCGGTTCTATTTTTGTTATTACTTTATTTTTTCACGTACTGTTCATATTCAGATCGGTTGGGCAAGTGGAGCTTATCAAGAGTGGGATTTGAAAGTGAGTCTTTTTTATACTGCGGGTCCATTGATATTTGGCTTTTGGATGAAGTTTTGGTTGGTGAAATTTTCAACCTCCTGATACTTGTTTGTGTTAAGTGGACATCGAATCTATGGTTAGCCGCCGCCGTTATGCCGATCACTCTTGGGACTCCAATGAAGACAGTGATGCTCCAATGTCGAAGCGTGTTCGCTGTGAAGACGAGCTGGTCATTACAAAAGATGGGTAAGTCATGCGTTTACTATCGAATTCGTGGGAAGCCGAGATTGTTTAAAGGTATTGGCTACAGAAATAGCGTTGACGAGGATTTCTTTTACGCAAGTCAGATGCCATCAGGTCATTTGTGGACACTTTAGGCTGCCTATGTCTGCGTACGGTCGCGTTTTAAGCGACAAGAAAAAACATATATCGATCTTCTGAGCGCACTGTTTTGAGCTTATTTTTTTCCAAGCGTTAGAAACGCTCAAAAAGCTGCCGTACGCTCAGAATTTTGACTCAAAGTATGAATGCAGCCTTACGAGAACATAAAGGGTGGATAGCATGCTCAATCTGAAGACAGTCCGCGCACTAATGTAACTCATAGGCATCCTTCTTTGTAGAAGTAGTTTGGCCCACAATATGTACGGTTATCCCACTTTCAGCTTCACTGGGCTGTGGCCTTCACAAGTGGCATTTCTGACGCATCCCAGTTGCCTCGCACTCCAAAAATCAAAAGTTATTTTCTATCGTGAAGTTTTTACACCGCTTTTTTTGTTGTCAGACGGTATTAGTATTCAATGAAGCGCAGAAACGATCATTGAGCTAGGGAGGCAGAATATCGCTTTGCTGGCGTGAAAGGAGCCGGTCCCAGTAACTCGTCCAGAGAGCCTACCAGGTCTTGATGTGTTCTCCATGGTTTTTCTCCTCGCTTTTTTCTTCCCTGAAGAGTTATTTTGCAACTATAGGTTTGTAATTGACTGCCACTATCCACAATGTACAGGCGCGGAGTTTGCCTTTAAGCATGGAGTAGGGGTGGAGTTTTTAGTTGGATGCATCCTTTTGACACAG